TTGGGCGGCGTTTTAAGTTGTGTCCGATTTGCATCAAACTTATTTTTAAAGCTCTTCATAAGAACTTAATAAGTCCGTATTTCAGCGATTTGGAAAATTCCACCCGCAACAGTGGTAAATTGGCGGAAAACGGTTGTATGAAAATATTTTGTTTACCATCCGATCGGCCCCAAACTCATTTTCAAAGATCTATGTTCAAATTAATTGGAGGGGTGTTTCACACTTTTATGAAAATCCATTCCTCCTTGGTGGAAATGGAGGTCAAAGATTTGGTGGGTGACGTTTCGCGCTCAAATTCATTTCCAGAGATCTATAAGAAAAATCATTTGAGACGTGTTTCATACTTTTCGCAGAATTCAAACTTTTTCGGGTGGAATGCGACTCAAAGATTTTTTGTGCGAAGTTTTAAGTTGTGTCCGATTTGCTTCAAACTTATTTTCAATGCTCTAAATAAGAACATAATGAATACGTATTTCAGCGATTTGGGAAATTCCACCCGCAACAGTGGTAAATTGGCGGAAAACGGTTGTATGAAAGTTTTTGTTTACCATCCGATCGGCCCCAAACTCATTTTCAAAGATCTATGTTCAAATTAATTTGAGGGGTGTTTCACACTTTTTGAAAAATCCATCCCTCCTTGGTGCAAATGGGGGTCGAAGATTTGGTGGGTGACGTTTTGTGTTCAAATTTATTTCCAAAGATCTATAAGAAAAATCATTTGAGACGTGTTTCACATTTGTCGCAAAATCTAAATCCCTTCGGTGGAAAATGCATTTCAAAGATTTTTTTGGTGAATTTTAAGCTATGTCCGATTTGCATAAAAGTTGTTTGATTCCCGTCCGATCGTTTCAAAATCATTTTCAAAGCTTTTTGAAAACATTGATTTTATAACATACGTGCCACGAGCAAGGCCGGGTTATACCCGCTAGTACTGTATATATGGTACATTTGTATGGAAGTGGGTATTGTTCGTGCAAGATTTAACAAAAATCTATTTTTTATTTATTTGGCAAACGTCATCACTTTTGGGGCCTTTTCATCACTGTCGCAGATTAATGAAGTTTTTTCTTAAAAGGTAATAGATATGAATATACATATGTATATATGGGTAACAAACAAAAACTAAATTTAATAATCTCAAAATCTCCTCTCTTTCAGGGGGCTCAAATACGCGTCTGCTTCTGAATCTGCCTGTTGCTCGGAGCGAGGATGGGCGTTATAGAACGGACTCACTCGGATGATGTGGGCGTGGTCTCGCCCGTGGCCGCTTCGCCTCCTGGTCGCCTCTCGGTGTCAGCGACGGGGCGAAAAGACGCCGGTAGTTGTCGAATGCACTCTTGCGCTCGATGAGATTGGCCGGGCCACAGATGACGGGTTTGTGAGGTGGGTGGACCGTCGTGTCGTCCTCCACGTGGCTCCTTGGTAGGCACCTTTATTATTACTATTTTACTTCCTTTTAAATTTTGTCATCGCAGTCCTAACAGCCACTGATAACTTTAAGGCTAGGCTGGGCAATAAATGTGCCAAACGCGTATAATGTATTTGTGCAAATGTATGAACAGGCAGAAGGAGCATCTCCGACCCCATAAAGTATATATATTCTTGATCAGCATCAACAGCCGAGTCGATCTAGCCATGTCCGTCTGTCTGTCCATCCGTCCGTCCATCTGTCCATCCGTATGTATGAACGCAAGAATCTCAGAACCTATAAGTTGCTAGAGACTTGAAATTAACTGTCGGTCCTCCTAGTGCCCGCGCAGATCGAGTTTGTTTCCGATATTCGATAACTTACCCCGTTTCCAAGTAATCGATAAAAATCGATATCCAATTCCTGTTTTTTGAGCAATTTTGGTAAATAATAAGAGCTAGAGTCACCATACTTGACATGTAGCTTCGAGAATAGTATATATACAAACAGTTTCTTTCATTTTATAGAAATCACCACCTCCCCGTTACTATCACATAGCTATAAATCAAGTAAAAACACCAATTTGTGCTGCCTATCAATATAAGCCTGTAACATACAACGTAGGATAGTTGCAGAGTCGAGTTGATAGAATTATAAACACCTTACGGAGCACGCGCTAGTTTTCCGGCTCTATCTCGTCGGCGATGTGGAGGTTCAGGAAAAAATTCCGAGATGTTAAATGCTCGTTTGCAAATTATTAATTATAAAAAAAATCGCGTGTTATTTTGGGGGGACTAGGTCGCCTATCAATCAGTTGAAACGAGAGAGGCTAGCATGCCATCATAGGCCTGCACTTATTTATGAATGAATAGTGTACACTAGCTACCCCAGAGTTGGAAATTGGGAGCCGCGTATCCCGACCCTACCATGATCGTCCAAGAGCCAAGGCATGTTTGAGACGATCCCTTGTACACCCTCGTTATTGTTCACATGGACTCAAGCCCGCATTTCATAAGTCCCGGAATTGGAAGGAGGTCTAAGTTAGAATTCATTATAATTTCTTTATTTATAACAATTAAATACTTCATTTAAGTCGTTTCTATTCCATAACATTTTAAAAACTGACGCAAAATATAGTTGCTTTAAATTTACTTTACTTTAGAAGCAATTATCACTAATTATGATATAGTAGTTGTTTCCCTGCCAACTAGCCGAGAGTTTAAATGCCTTTTGTTTAATATAGGCAAAAATTATTTGATTTAAGTTATTGCTAAACCGAAGCGAAAAGTTGCTGAAAACAATAACGGTTAATATATAAAAATATATGCAAATATGACAAAGAGGAATATATGTATTTGTATTATAGTAGTAGGATTAAGCAATGCCGATTAGATTATGAGGCTAACGGCCATTTTAGATGCTTAATAAGTTTTAGTTAACAACAGATTTAGTCAGCCTTTTTTGTCTTTTAATTTACATGCGGTGTACGTAATATTTAGCGACACTACTGTACGCTGCGCAGCTGATATGCATTGCATTGACTAGGTCAAACGCTCGCAAATTTGTTATCAATTTCTTTTACCGTTGTTTACACAGGTTTCACATGAGCTCGGCTCACGCTTTGGCACAACAAGGTAATAAAACAACAACAACTGCTTAAGATTGTCGTACACATGCTCATTTGGCTGTTAGGAAAAAACTTATTTTTTAATTTTATACAGAACAATTGTAATTTATAATGGCGAGGAAAGTACTTTCGGCGGTGTCCATACGAGTGCTGGTTATAAATATGTTTAAAGGCAAGGCTTATTTTTCTGACGCATTGTTTTAGATGAATTCATCTTTTTTTAAAGTTTCCATTTGCCGACAAAAATCACTTTGCTTTTCACTTATTGTTAGATCGGCAACTTTTCGCTTAGGCACATTATACCCAATGCCAAGAAAATGAATAAAAAGGAAATATTATCAAAACCAAAACAAAAAAAAGATATGCAACTTCTTTGTTGCCTGGTTGGCTGCTCGGTAATTAACTATTATAACGTATTCAATTAAATTATACGAGCTTAGCAAATTTGTAACATTATTTAAATCAAAACTAATTTTTCACTGAGGGTTATGGATCGAACTATTACAAACGGCGGCACTTTCAAACTTTATAACATTTTCTGTTTATGTTTTTTATTTTGTTGTATGCGTCGATCCGTTCTCGTCTAGATCATGCCGAAAACTACTGTGTCCGTAATTCCGATTCTGCTCGTTTATTTCAGCGAATGAGAAACGGAGCTTAGGGGTTTTGGTATAGGTGCCAATCTGTGTACGCCAGAAAATGATAATTCGAAACAAAAAAGGTAAACAGCGCAAGAGCAATGAGCGGCTGGTCCGCAAGAGAAGAGAAATATTTACCCTTTTAGGATTGGCACCAAAATTAAAATTTAGAAATGTGGTTCCGTCCGACTGTGGGCTTTGCTTTTTCAAGCTGCGGTTAGTTATGCACCAATTGATAGCCGCCTGCATGGGCTCAAGCCAATGGGAGTTCTGAGGTTCCAATGCCACTAAGCATGAATTTATTTTCGGTAGTGCTTAAACTTACAGGCTTTTATATTTCCGCAACAAAAGGTTTTTGTTTTTTGTAGTGCCAATTTTGTGGTAATAATTTATTTTTAATTTGAGCACAAAAGAACCAAAAAACCCAAAAACGTGCTTGCAGCTTAGGCTACTAAACTTTACGCAAAATTAGAGAAATTTAATATTTCATAGAACATTTGAAATAAATATATTATTATTTTATTTTTGTTGTCAGTAAAAGTGGTTACCACATATTCTGCGTATTTAGGCAAACTACAATAATTAACAAAAATACTACTAAAACTAAAAGAAATCTACTACTAAATGTCAACCCAATTGTTAATTACAAATGCATTTAAAAAAAAAATTGCATTGCCTACTTTTGGGCACACGTGAAAAATAGTCAACTAATTTCTGGTAACAAGCGCCACTACAAGCCACAATTAAATACAATTGACTTTTTGAGAATACACGAATATTCTATAAAACAATTAAATGTACAATCGAAAAATTCATTAAGATCGATTAAGAACAGAAGTTATGTGCGTTTGTGTTAGCAGCAGCTAGCGCAAATTCCACGAATTTCTGTATACATGTACACACATACATTCATGCGCGTCTGCTTTGAATTCTATCAACAGCATCGCAATTGCAATTGTATTGTGTCTGTGCTGTTATTTTAATTCGTTTTTTACTCATTAAGATTCAATTATTGATGTGGCTGTTGGGTAGAGGCGGCGGCAAGTAGTATGGTTTGTTGCGAGTTCTCGAACCCTACTGAGGAAACTAATTTTATTTGTTTTGGCTGGTGTAGCTGTTGAGTAGAGGCGGCAGTAAGTAATGCGGACAGTTTTATATTATCTTTATTACTACTAAAGCGAACGAGCGCGTTGGTGTTGGAAGAGGGTTCAGGGTATCTCCTAGTCGGGAGCTCCCGACTAGAACCTCTTACTTGTTTAATATGGATATACATATACGGGGCGACCTGGTCGCTTGTTCCTTTACCAAAACACAATCTAGCGCAGTCTTCCAGGCACTTGCCACCTTTATTGGAACTTCTAATTAAAACAGTATATTGATTATATTATTGGTTTTCCATTGTAGCAACAGCGACTTGTGGGTCCCGTCGAGTTGACGGTCCAGGTTGTTCGCCAGTTGGAGCATTGTCATCATCTCCCTCAGGCTTTGGTATTATATTTGATGCACCTTTCATTTTAGCCATGTTTAGGTAAAAAATATTTTCTTCCTCATTAAGTATCTTGAATGGTTGATCTTTGCCAACAATTGCAATAGTAATATTCTGTACAAATAAAGTTATTTAAAAATATAAAAGTAATCTCAGTTTAATAAAAGTATATTTTACCAATTGAGATGCGCCCTCATCTTTGCTTAACAGTTCATCATTTGGTAATGAACTACGAATGGCATGAATGCCATGACAAATAATTTCGTCTTTGGAGCAGTTAATGAAATCATCCAGATTGCGCTCCAAATAAGTGCGTGCACTTTGTGATCGAGACCCAATAGTCATAGCCACACAATTAAAATAATTTGCAGAAGGTTCTACTTGATAAATATGCGGTCCCTTTTCATCATATCCGGCAATAAGTAAACCCACTCCATATGGTCGACGGTCGTAGCGTTGAGTTGTCGTTTGCATTTTGTTACCCAAATTAGTAATTAATCGAGAAACAGGAAACGCAGATTCATAAGAATGTTTGTAGCTTAAGCACTCAGATCGCAGGTATTTGCTTAACACCCGCGCATCAGCTGTAATGCCCGCAATTGATATACCCAAATGATCATCAATTGGAATTAATTTACGTTGAGAAGCCGATAACTCAGATGGTGGCTTTGAAAGCGCTACAAGAACAGCGAAGTCACGATTTTTTAAACCAACAGTTGCTGTTCCGAGCTTAACGGCGGCTACGGCGTATTCGACCTGATGTAAACGACCTTGAGGACTCCAAACTGTAACATCACTATCATATTGATTCCGGAACTGAAATTAAAAACATTTTTTATAATATTTAAATAAAAATTTCAATTTATACCATGATGATTTAGCCCAACAATAAGACAATTCACTATATTAAATGATGACAATCAAATTCTATTAGTGCTGGGTTATTTGAATTTATAAATCAAAGTATCGATAAGATAATAAGTAAACGGTTCTTTATCAAACTTCTGACTTATATTAGCATTAATTTTGGAACGCAGAAACAGAACATCATAGTATTTGCAGTTATATCATTGAGATCTTATTAATGACTGTAGACATTTCATGTAATATGTAGGTTCTCTATAGAAGACACCAGTACGCATTCTCCATCCATTTTGAAGGGTTAGCCACATTTCACACCCTTAAAATATCATAAATATTTAAAAGCTTTTTCCATAGGGTGCTGCTGTGGAAAACCCAAATAAAGCTTCTGTAAAAGGTCCCCGGCATGTAGCATTCGATCTTGTGCTTTATATGTAAGTGAATATGTAATTTAAGATATAAGTGTCTAGGTTGGCGTCTAGTCAGTCAAGCAATTCATTTGTGCTAAGTAAAATATTGTTTTATGAAAAATATTTACTAGAGCCCTCATTCAGTGAAATCTGTGCCATTTGGAATAATAATAACATTTAACATGGCCTGTATATTGCTGAACGAACAAAATTTAAAACATCCACTGAACGAGGTGAAGCAGGGTTCTTGTAAATATATTGCCAAAAACAATATTTAACTTAGTGGCACAAATGAATTGCTTGACTTGCTAGACGCCAACGCCTACGTAGTCCATGCTCAATATAAGTGAATGAGTGTGGCCACTCAATCGGAATAACTTTTTTTTAATAGGAGAATTCAAATTCAGAAAAGCATATTCAGTCAGTATGATCAAAAATTCGGAGAAGCTCAGCAGAACTCAAAAACATCAGCGCTTTCCAATTCAACAATATTAATTAACAATTCAAAGTCACCAAATAAATAAATAGAAAGCAAAAAGTTCAAAAATAGCAGCCTGAGTGGAGATCGTACATTGGTGAAGTCTACAACAAGTATTACTCTCATATCTGCAGAAAGAACAATAATGGTGCAATATTAATATAAATGATATGTTCAAATGTTCATGCTTTTCTTGAAAAGTTTATACTAATTTCGTGTTTTAGAGCGTTTAGTGTTTAGAGTTAATAACCACCAAAACGTAGATCCTTTACCACCGGCCCATGTCATAAGTTGAATTTAGTCACTGTTACTTTTGAAAGTGGAAAAGCAGGAACTAGTTACTTCTAAATACTAGTTACTTGCAACGGTTTAAATAAATATCGATCATCACTATTAATGTTACAAATCAACTATTATTACTTAATCAAGTATAAATTATTGAACTTACAGTAAACGTTTTTGATATTTAGAGGTAATTAATAATGAATGAAAACCAAAAAAATATGTTTATTTACTTATATGTGCATATTTGTACATATTCACAGTTACTGTATCCATTCCAAAAGAGGCGGACATAAAAGTACAAATCGAATGTCAACATCAAATCTTATCGCAAATCTTTTATGCACTTAACCCATTAAAAATCGTTAGAAGGGTATAATGGTTTTGTGTAAACGTATGTGATGGGCAGAATTAAGCATCTGCGACCCCATCAATAGCCGAAGCTGTCTAGCCTTGTTCGTCTGTCTGTCCGTACTGTATATATGAACGGGTCGATCTTGGATCCTATAAAAGCTATTGACTTGAAATTTTAAGCGATGTACATCTAGTGCCCGCGCAGTACGGACTTGTTTCCGATAATCGATAACCTTTCTTATTTTCAGGCAATCGGTACAAATCGATATCGAAAGCCTGTTTTTTAGAAAATCTCTTAAATCGAAGAGGAATTCACCAAATTAGATAGAGTACAATCACTAACCAAAAAACATATAGATGCGACATGCCGTGAATCCAAGTGGCCCAAAAAAAAATCGGTGAATCTGGTCCAATCGCTTACACTACAGGAAACTGCTTTGGCTTACTCTCTTCCATATGATTTGTGCGATAGAACGGCATCGCTGTTTATTTTTATCTCGCTCGCACTTACTCTCAGTGCTCTCTTTATGTCTACATAGGTACCGTTAAAATGTTTGTCTTTGTATGTGCCCGCATAAGCAAAAATGACCACAAATTCAATTTTTCTCAAATATCTTCCCTTTTGAATGGACGAGTAATATGAAATAATGAAAGGGTTTGCCAAGTCGATTCGAAATTCTTGCATTTTAGCTCGTTCTTGTTCGAAAAAGTACCTAAGCGTTGGCATTTGTGCATTTAAAAGTTGTTGGACTTGCTGTTCACGCATACTTGCGTATTTTGTATATGAATATAAGCATTTATGCGCTTGTGTGCCTGTTGGTCCTTGTCTGCCTGTCCGATGCAAATTTGACAATATTTTTGGATTTCTGAATTTCGAGCTCTACACACACACAGACACAAATGTGTGTGAATGGGCAGATCATGGGCGCAAAAGAAAATATCATTTTTGGCACGCGTCTGGAACGCACCCTTCTTTTTTATGATTTTGGGTTTGAATTGATGAATGAATGTTGACCCCTTGACCCAGTTTCCTGTAGTGTAAGCGATCAAAAGATATCATATGTATATATGTATATCTTACTCGCTCGTTGGACCAGATGCACCGATTTTTTTTTTGAGCCCACTTTGGATACACGGCATCTCCCATCTTTATGTTCTTGGGTAGTGGTACAATATACAAACTAGGTATCTTACATTTTATTGATATCGACACCCCCCCTCTACCCATAGAAATTAATCAAATAAATAAATCAAGTGGAACTATCCACTATATTAAGTCCCAATTTTATTTCCGTTGTCCTTTAGACAATTTATAATTGCACAGTAAGATCTACGCCTGAAAATGTTAGCAATGTCGGTTAAGAAACACAGAAGTAATTAAAGAAAACATGTGGCAATATTGGCAAGCCACTTGGCTGCAAACACAAAGCCCAAGAATTGTACACATGTGTATACATAAACTCAATCCATACACACAAATAGAATTGCAATTCTGATTGTATTATATACCGTGCTGTGTGTATGTTCTCCCATTTCAGCTATTATATCCGTGTAGAGGGTATTATAATCTATATATAATTCTATAGCTGCCACAGGAACGATCGGTCGAAAATGAGGCTCTTGTAGAAACAATTTTTTGTTTATCGAGATATCTTGACCCAACTTGGCATTTATTTGTTTCCCTATGCTCCTTGTATATATGTATGCACAATCTTATCAACATCGGGCCACTATATAATATATCTGCCATAGGAACGATCGGTCGAAAAATAGGTTCTTGCATGGACAACTTTTTTGTTTATCAAGATATCTTGACCCAACTCGGCATTTATAACTTATGACTTAATATAGCTTTCATAGGAAAGAACGATAGGAACAGAACATACAGTAAAATATTGCAAACTTTTTATATTCCAGATATTTTCATCAAATTTAGAACTTACGAGCTTCACAAATCTCACATATCAGCAAAATGAAAGTGTCTACCAGGGTATAAAATCTTCGCCGTGCCGAGATATCATTACTTTCTCTTTTTCATTAAGATGGGTAGGAGTATGGTTGAATAGAGTTATGAGATCGACTCCGGTACATGGACTTACTTCTTTTTTTTCAGGCTATAGCAAACTAGCGCGAACGAGATGTATTTTGTGTTGGTAAAAGGCTAGAGCACTCTTGCTTGTTTTCAAATATCTGTTCAAATTCATTTGAGAGGTGTTTCATACTTTTCGCAAAATCCATCCTGTTTTGTCAAGTAACAGCAGAGACAACACCGACGGCTGCGGGCAGCAGCCAACAGCAGAAGATAGCAATCATAATTACAGCCTAAAAGCAAATAGTTTTTGCGCGCTCTTTGTAAGCTGCTGCCCACTCTCTTCGTTGGCCCTTTTCTTTCTGCATTGCTTTGCTTTGCATTGATTCCCGCTGCCCTTCGCTCTATGCGGCGATCGTCTTATTGGATTTTCTTTTCGTTCGCTTTACATATTGTCATAGTTAGTCTTTCGTTTGATCGCAACCTAGGCACAACTAATTCGAGTTGGCTGCCAAGAAACAATATAAAAACTTATAAATTCTAATAAGTGCCCTGCGCGGCAAGTAAATACATTTGAAAACAAATCTAAGTTTTTCAATTTCGCTGCACACAAGCAGTGAGAATTAATTAGTTGCAAAAAAGCTTGCAACTATACACATAACTCGGTTCAAACGGGATCAACGATTTGAGACGTGTTTTAGTTTTTTCAATAACAAATTTGGTTAGTTGAAAGTAAACGTTGTATGAATGGATTTATTTACAATTAGATCGGTTTTTAATTAATTTCAAAGATCTTTTTGACGTCTACACATACGGAAGCACAGGCAGACGGACATAGATAGATCGACTCGGCTATTGATGGGGATCAAGAATATATTTTTTATGGGGTCGGAGATGCTTCCTTCTGCCTGTTACATAGATTTGTACAAATACATTAAATAACATTCAGGGTAAAAAAAAAATCACACAAAAACCATATATAATGTGGTTTTTTAATATATGTAACCGAAGCAGTAGGCTCGGTTACTAATAAAACAAAAGTTGTTGAATAAAAAAATTGGTGATTGTCAAACAACCAAATTTTCCCTCATTGAACTATTAGGCTATTCGACAGACCTCAGTTCCCCACGCGATTCGTGTAATCACTTAATTTTTAATGAGATTTTTTTTGTAATAAATAAGATTGGCAATTAATAAATAAAAAAGCATATAGCATATTGCACCATCTGGCTAAACGTGAAATTTTTCGGGTATGCGTCAAGCCTCCAAGGAGCAGTCGGACTTATACTTCACACAGTTGGAGCCACAGTTCGCAGCAATTGGGGTATATATTGACAGCACAAAGTATCACTAAGCTCAACAAGAATGACGCAAAAGCAGCTCTTATCAAAGAATACACAGATTCCAATAAGCGCAAATTCAGCAAGCACCTACACTAAGAGCATGCAAATGCAGGAGCCCAAATTTCCGACGAAGGCATAAAGCACTTTGATTGTATCGATTGTTGACGACGACTCGGCTAGAGTCTCTCTCCAAGCCGACAATATATTGGAAGCCCAGCGCCTCTCAACGGTATGTGCACTGCAAAACAACGGCAACAACGCCAAACTTCATCGACAAGTTTCGCAAGAAATTGCGAAAACTTAAATCGGTACCCAGGAATCAGGAAAACTAAAAGTTACACTGTCCGGGATGGCGGACAAAGTAGGGGCTACCAATCGTCGATTATCCGCAACTAAGTCAGGCGCTGAATTTTCTATTTTACCTCTCAAAGATCGGGGCGCTCAGCCCAGAATCTATACGCAGCAAACAGCACTCCAATAAAAACGCTTGGCACAAAAATGACTACAGTCTAAATGGGTTGGTTTTTTATCATGCAAAACCAATTATAGTAGCTGGTTTCCTACACGAACATGGGCTACTGAAAATTTCTTACGGATAGCTTTACAAAGCTGTAGATAAGGGACAGGACGGTGCAGTATGGAATTCGCACCTTGTGCAATAACTTTCTTCAGAAAATATGACACGTAAAATGATTTTACTTTTATTTTTGCACAGAGTATGCTGGAGAGAATTAATTGTCTTAGTCAATAGCGTGCAAGCACTTATGCCTGTATATGTGAATTATGCATGCGTACATCAATAAATGTGTTGTTATTCACTGCACTGGCTTTTGCTGCCAAAGAAATCAATTTTGTTAATTTTCTAGCGGTGACCATGACCTATCCCAAATTCTTATTCACATATGAATGTATTATTCTTTTAATTATTATTATATCCTAACTAATGAAACCTCATAGCTTAATTTCCAATAATGACTAAAAATAATTATTTTAAAATATAGACATTAATTTCTATTTAGATTTCTACAGTTTGGCTGCTGCCATACAAATAATAATATATTTATTTGAAGAAATTATTAGAATTGGCTTAAAATATATAGATTTTCTCTTAAACCAATCAACATATGCAAATACAAATTTGGGATCATGGTAAGCGCAGATAACTAACCAAATTAGTTTTTTCGGCAGCAAAAGCCACTACAGGGAAAAACAACACTTTCAAGTATGCTGTTATGTATGTATGTATATTTACACACATACAAACATAATTGCTTGCCTGGCCCTCATAGAGCCGAAGAGTACATTCTATTTCTAACTTTTTCGATCTTTTGTTCTCAATTTTTTAAAATCAAGCTGCATATTAGCATTTTGCTGTATGGCGTTACTCATCTTAGTGTTTATATTGTCTTTGGTTCAGCCATGACCCTGCTGAAGTTTGTTAATACATCACACCAAACTTTAACCAAAGTTTTCGTGCAAAAGGATATCAAAACATGTAGTCACATTTTCCTACGAGATGACACAGGCCCCTCTCGTAGCGGCCGTGAAGTACGCACACCATTTTGCAACTTATCTCAACGACTTGATTAAACATCTTAAATTGATAAGTTAGGGCTAAGACGTGAACAGGTGCGGAACTTGATCAGACAACGGTTCCTCAATCGGCTCGTTCGAGATAGTCATTCGCGAAGATTGCAATTTTGTTGAGTCGTCACTTATATGTGGGTTCAAAGTTAGGTATTTCGATAGTAATTTTTCTAACGAAACGTTGTTTTCCAAAATTTAATTTTTGCTCCTGTTTAAAACGTATTTATGAAAGTATATATATATTAATTACATTTAGTATTGTAGTTTATGTGTTATATAAATAATATTCTTTTGTCATTTAAGATAAGATGACCTGGACGGAGCTGTTGTCTAATCTTTCCACAAATCCATACTTTGGTGCGGGTTTCGGTTTATTTGGAGTTGGTGCCAGCGCAGCAATCCTTAGAAAAGGTCTACAAGGAGCCTCAATATTATTTCGCCGACATTTAATGATTACATTAGAAGTACCATGTAGAGATAAGTCGTATCAGTGGCTATTAAAATGGATAACCGTTAAGGGAGCTAAAAAAACCCAGCATTTAAGTGTAGAAACATCTTTTTTACAAAACGACAACGGCCAGGTTAAAACAAGCTACCATTTTATTCCTAGTCTTGGAAAACACGTATTTCGGTACAAAAATAATTGGATTCAAGTTGAGAGGACGAGAGAACAGCAAACATTAGATATACAAATGGGTGTTCCTTGGGAATCCGTAACATTAACAGCGTTTGGTAACAATAAGCAAATATATTTCGATATTCTAGAAGAAGCGCGTCAACTAGCATTAGAGGCTACAGAAGGAAAAACACTCATGTATACAGCTATGGGTTCTGAATGGAGACCATTTGGGCATCCTCGAAGACGTAGACCTACGACTTCAGTTGTGTTAGACCTTGGGATATCCGAAAGAATAATTGCTGATTGCAATGATTTCATTTCAAATTCATTGTGGTATACAAATCGTGGAATTCCTTACCGTAGGGGGTACTTGTTATATGGACCACCAGGATGTGGTAAATCAAGTTTTATTACTGCCCTGGCGGGAGAGTTAGAATATGGAATCTGTTTGCTTAATTTATCAGAAAGAGGGCTTACAGATGATAGATTAAATCATCTTTTAAATGTAGCTCCAGAACAAACAATAATATTACTTGAAGACATTGATGCTGCCTTTGTCTCTCGAGAATCTACATTACAACAAAAATCTGCATATGATGGTTTAAACAGGATAACATTTAGCGGATTGCTAAACTGCCTAGATGGCGTTGCGTCTACCGAAGCGCGCATCGTTTTTATGACGACTAATTACATAGATCGTTTAGATCCCGCATTAATTCGACCTGGTCGAATAGATTTAAAAGAATATATAGGATATTGCAGCCAATATCAACTTGAAGAAATGTTTAAAAACTTTTTTGGTGAAAATGAAATTTTAAAATCTGTAGAATTTGCTCAAAAACTTATCGCTTCATCTCGTGCAGTTAGTCCAGCTCAAGTACAAGGTTTTTTCATGAAACATAAATCTTCCTCTCCACAACATGTAGTTAACTGTTGTCAGAGTATTTGGGAAAATTAATATTAGTTTTAATTGTTTTAAAATAATGTACTAAAAATACAATTAAAAGAAAAAATAATTACCGAGTGGGAAAAGTGGTTTAAAAAAGACTGCATGTATAAGAATAATAAAAATAAGAAACCATTTATATTCAGTGAAATATTTGAAAAATGTAAATTAAAAAAATGCTGAATATATTTGCTCATCTCTCAATATAAGTTATATATGGCTGAGTCGATATAGTCATATATGTGTATCTAGTCTATCTAATATATTTTGATTGAACTGTTTTGATGCAGCGTGATTGAAAGAATGACAAAATAAGTGATACTTAAAGTAAACATATTAGATACATCTTTTGGACGTATTGGAGTAGCACCAAACACCAATAGAAAACGTTTTTGTACAGATTCGATTTTGTTTTGATGATTTGAACATTATGGGGACCGCCTAATTTGTCTGGTCCCCACCTAATTTGTCTGGTCCCCATAATGTTCAAATCATCAAAACAAAATCGAATCTGTACAAAAGAATGTGTCAAATAAGAATGTGTCAAACAAGAGATATGAAAATGTTATATGTCATTTACGGATCGCCGAATTCCTTGGACCAAATGATACTCAGAACGGTCCTGGCCTTATTGATCACAGATGAAACATGAGAGTCGAAATATATAATGAAGAATGATACCTAAATCATAGACCGTTGCTGTTGACACGCTCAAGCGGTCAAGTTGGGAAAATAAGTTTGAGGTCGATCGGACTAAACTTAGAGCTTCCCCTCAACAAATCGAAATTAAGAATATAATGAACAATGACACCTAAATCCCAGGTAAAGTGGTGGAGAAATATAAGTTCGCTTATGAAAGGGATATTGCGTCCTTTAAAATAAGTGTTCCGCCAGAAATATTTACTGATATTTGTTGTAAAGAGTTTTGGCCGGAACAATTAATAGTAAAAGAATATAAGGCCAAAAAGCAAAAACGGGCTGCGATTTTATTACCACCTATTTCTAATGGCGCATCAACTTTAGTTGCTGCGTCAAAAAACTAATTTCATCTTTCGAGTTTGCCTACCAGAATGTTAGAGGTCTGAAATCTAAACTCGCTAAACTGTATTTAGACTCTTGCTTTTAATTTTCAAATTATCGCGTTCACTGAGACCTGGCTGAAGCCGGACATCTCAGACTTCAATTTTTACCTCCACTTACAGATGTGATGGAGCTTTCCGTATCGGAGAAGGAGTACTTATAGCTGTCGAGTCTGCTCATCTCAGATATTGAGTTGGTGGCTGTAAGAGTTGTATTTGGTACTCTTTCTATCTTTATTTCATGTTCATATTTACCTCCTCTATCTAACTTGTCTACCTATCAAACCCATCTTAATGCTATTAAATCTATCTCCTCCCTACTTTCTGATAGAGACCTTTTAGTAGTTCTTGGGGACTTTAATCTTTCAGTTGTCGAGTGGTCATCGCCATCAGACTCAAACTTTCTGTTGCCGTCATCGTCAAACGAATTTATTGATGGTCTACATGAAATGTCCTTACGGCAGGTTATTCGTGTGCGCAATTCAAGAAACAGATCTCTTGATCTAATTTTCGTGTTGGATTCGTTCAACAGTGTTGTGCACAGGATCAATCCGCTTACACTTCCTGAAGACCCTTTTCATCCAACTCTGGAAATGGTCATTGATTTACCAGCCCGAGTCCCTATCAAGGAATCGGAATTAGCTGAACGTATGCGTTGTTTTCGAAAGGCTGATTTTCATAAGCTAAATGATCTTATTCTGCAAATCGACTGGTCCCAACTGTACAACTGTGCAGACATTTATGTTGCTTTTAAACTTATTTATGATACCTTGTACTCGATTTTTGATGTCTGCGTTCCTCTTGATCACCCAGCGAGGCCTGCTAGGCCTCCCTGGTTCTCAAATAAACTTATGAGGTTAAAAAAACGTGAAGTCGAGGTGTTATAAAAAGTTTAAGAAATCGGGGAATCACTCTGATTGCCCGATCAAATTTTTCCACCCAAAATTCCATCTGTTATAAGAATTACCTTCGGCGTTGTCGCCTTCAATTTTCACATAATCCTAAGCAATTTTTTAACTTTATCAATTCTAAACGAAAGACATCTACTTTGCCTTCTTCGGTTAAGTCTGCAGATGAGAGCGCGAACACTGATCCAGGCATAGCCGATCTGTTTGCAAACTTTTTTCAAACTATCTACTCCTCCTCTAGGTATAATAAAAATCAGCCTTACCCTTATCAGTTACAGAGGTCAAACTGCATCTTAAATCCCATTATTACCGTAAGCTCGCTTCTTAGCGACCTTAACACTATCAAGCCGGTTTACTCACCGGGCCCTGATGGTGTTCCTGTTTGCGTGCTTAGATACTGCGCTGCAGCATTATGTAAACCTGTTTTAAAACTTTTTGAATTGTCCGTAAACATTTCATCTTTTCCGACCATTTGGAAGGAATCTTACATTATCCCTCTCCATAAAAAAGGGAGCAAGTCCGATGTCGAAAACTATAGAGGCATTTCCGAATTATGCCCGATACTTAAAGCTTTTAAGAGAATTATAACATCTCAACTGCAGCATTCATGTAGTTCTATTATTTCACCTTCCCAGCATGGGTTTGTGAAGCGCAGATCTACAACCACTAACCTTCTTGAGTTTACTTCGTTTGTAATTGGTGGGTTTAAGAAAAGAAAGCAGACTGACGTCATCTATACTGATTTCAGTAAGGCTTTCGACTCTGCCAACCATTCCTTGCTGCTTCATAAATTATGCCTTATCGGCTTCCCAGTCAATCTTTTGAACTGGATTTTAGAGTATTTGCGTGACAGAACCCAAAAGGTTATTTTCAGAAGTTCGTTTTCTAAACGTATTCTGGTGACTTCCGGTGTTCCTCAAGGTAGTCATCTTGGTCCGCTACTCTTTTCATCAATGACCTTCCCTCGATACTGTCTCACTCTCAAGTATTAATGTATGCTGATGATGTAAAATTATGCCTTGCATATAAGGATATGGCATCATGTTATCTCTTACAAGCGGACATTAATGCGTTTCAGGCTTGGTGTGTAACCAACCTTTTAAACTTAAACTGCTCTAAATGTAAGGTAATGACCTTCTATAGAAGCCCTCCTCAATTGGTTTCTTACATGCTTGATAGCATACCGCTCGAGCGTGTTAATAGTACTTCTAATGAAGTTAATTATTTAGGTGTCATCCTTGATCATAAACTTAAATTCGACTCTCATGTTATTACGGTGGTCAATAAGGCCAGAATAGTTATGGGTTTCATCAAGCGATGGTCGAAGGAGTTTGACGATCCGTACACGACAAAAACACTTTATATATCTTTGGTACGACCTATTCTTAAGTATGCCTCATGTATCTGGTCACCACAACATGCTATCCATCAGGACAGAATTGAATCCGTTCAGAAACAATTCTTGTTGTGTGCCCTTAGTGGTTTAAATTGGGATCCTCGTGTGCGGTTACCGTCATACTCCAGCAGACTTCTGATGATTAACCTTCCTTCCTTGATTAATTGTAGAACCATGCTGGGTGTAATATTTATTCATAAATTAATTACTGGTGAAATCGACTCTTCTGTGTTGACTAGCCAATTAAATTTCTCTATCCCTACTAGACTAACACGTAATTTTGTACCTTTATCGCTTCAATTTTGCTCAACTAATTATGCCTTGCATGAACCGTTCAGGGTTCTCTGTGATGACTATAACAAGCATTACAGAGTATTCTGCTCGGAAGCTTCTCTTCCTCGTATAAAGTCTTCTATTCTAAACTATTTAGCAAGTAGATAGTCCTATTTTTAGTTGTAATTGTATTTGTACACATACTCGTAGTTTGTATCGTCTTTTTTTTTTATTTTTTTTTTTATATTGTATTTTATATATACCGCCCCTCGGTCGGTTAGGCGGGAGGTGGTATGCTGTACGTTGCATCGGGATTCGCGTAAAAAAAAAAAAAAAAATCATAGGCCGTTACTGTTGACACGCTCAAGCGGTCAAGTTGGGAAAATAAGTTTGAGGCCGATCGAACTAAACTTAGAGCTTCCCCTCAAAAACTCGTTGAAGAATGACACCTAAATCATAGACCGTTACTGTTGACACGCTAAAGCGGTCAAGTTGGGAAAATAAGTTTAAGGTCGATCGAACTTAACTTAGAGGTTCCCCTCAAAAAATCTTAAATGTTGCATTATGCAAAAAGTGTAAGACACATCTCAAATTAATTTTCTTAGAGATAATTGCTATTGAGCTTCCACCAGAAACGTCGCCTATTCTACTTTCGACCTGCATTTATCATATAAGAAGGGTAGATTTTGCGAAAAGTTCGAAAAACGTATTGTATGAATTTTCTTAACGATCTCTGAAAATGATATTGAAACCGATCGGATAATGAACAACAAACTTTCATACAACCGTTTTCCACCAATTTACCAAAGCCGCCGATGGAAATTCCAAAATCGCTGAAACACGTTCATGAAGTTCTTAAGTTATGTTTTTAGGTCAGAGGCAAATCAGTCACAAATTAAAACTTCTTCAAAATATCTGTTGAATTCTGCAGGAATCGCATTAGTAAACATTAATACAAACATAAAAAGATGTCGTTCAAGTAGTTTAGCGAAACAACAAGTTTGGCTCTCTTGCACTTGTCGCAGCTGTTATAAAATACATATTCTTCTTTTATCTCACCCACTTGTTCACGTTGTTGATCTAAGCGAAGCAAAGAAATTGTGTCGTTTTGAGAATCTAAATTTGACTTTAATTTTTGGCTATAGTTTCAAAATAGTTGCTAAAAAACTCAACATTTGGAGGCCCGACCAGATTTAACATATATGTTAATACTAGCGGGTATAACCCGGCCTTGCCCGTGGCACGTATGTTATAAAATCAAAAAAGCTTTGAAAATGATTTTGAAACTGATCGGACGGGAATCAAACAACTTTTATGCAAATCGGAAAACTCTTAAAATTCACCAAAAAAATCTTAAAAATGCATTTTCCAACGAAGGAGTTTAGATTTTGCCAGAAATGTGAAACACGTCTCTAATGATTTTTCTTATAGATCTTTGGAAATAAATTTGAACACTAAAGGTCATCCACAAAATCTTCGACCC